TCTAACATTCACAGACACACACTGGACAGGAGGAGCCGTGGATCCATCGACCTCCTGATTGGTAGACGACCTGCTTTACCACCTGAGCCACAGCCAACCAAGGAGATTAGATCGTTCCAGCTCCTAACAAACCCCGGAGTTGTTTGCTTAAGGTGAAAATGTGATCCTACCTCAATCCAACTCAATTACCAAGTGTGCTTTGCATTCCAGGATGTGGCAGAGTACCACAGATATGCACTGTGGACAAAATGTCACAACTAGCTTCTACAATGAATTAAAAAGCACAGATTTATTCCAAATGCTTGAAGTAAATTCTCTGTGTCCAGACTAGTCCAGAACACGGCAGCTTCTTCCTGTATTTCCTTTTGTTGCTCCTGCCTCAGACGTATCTGGCCGATAAGCGGACCAAAGGTTTTTTTTGTGATCAACATTTTATTGATTTAAAACGGGGTTTGGGGAGGGGGGGGGTACAGACATATACAGCACAACTGTAAACTGCAGTAGCAAAGCAAACATTAGCAAACAAGGCATAGGGACAGCAAAGAAAAGACACAAAAACACTAAGTTAAAACCAATTATTGCCTCTTCCAGGAGATAACTCTGGATGAGAAGATTTTCCAAGCCTCAACAGTCGTGGGTCGAGCTTCATTTAATTTTGCTGTGGTATGTTCAAAACCAATAACACGGATAAGACATCGTCTCCAGAATGATTCCATACAAATGTCAGGACAGAACCATTGCGTTGTAATAGTCTTCTTTGCGGATGTGAATCCAGCGAACAACATTTTGCATTGCATTTGACGCTCTTGAGTTTTTTGTACTGAAGCTATCGGACTTCACTCTGTGTGAAATGAAACCAAACGCCATTGTAAAACTAACTATGGGTGTGTAAATGCCCTCTCAAGAAATGGGGAAAAAAAACAGTCCCAAAAAGATTGATTTGTGACATTTCAGAGACAGAAATGGACGGGAAAGCAGCAGAGGGGGAACGACACACACACAATGGACTCAAACCGAGGCCCCTGCTGTGGCTTTCAGCATCCGGGTCACAAGCTCAAACAGGTGAGCCATAGCAACGCCTTTTAAGTTATACTAGCAAACTTCATAACAGACAGATCTTTTGTGCTCTAACACACTAAGGGAAGATGCTACATCCTGTTTACCAGCTAGTCAGGACAGTGACTTCTTTTAAGTGAAGCTGGTGTGATTAACTGTTTACAAAAACACTGTTGACCCAGCTTTAATGACTAATAGTTGGCTCATAACCTCACACGTATACAAGTACATTCAAGAAATCATATGAAAGACGTCGCCGTGATAAGTAATTTACCCTTTGACCTTTTTCTCAGTGTGAAACGAGAAACGGGAACACGAATGTTATCGTACTAGAATGAAGGCAATCAAAATAATTTCTTGTATCGACACGTACTTGGAATGCAACTGTGTATGTGCAAAAAAATATTTTCCACAGCTCTAATAAGGGGAGGCGTTTCCTTTACTTTCATTCATATGCACAGAGTGATCTCTGCACCTCACATTCATGCAAAAGGAAGAGCAGCAAAAACAAAAGATGGCTTGACTAGTTGTCAACAGAAGCTGTGACTTTAAAGCATCACATCAACTTTTTTTTTAAAAAATAAGCTTTTCTTCTTCATTTAAGGATTGATGGATGCAATATATGGACGGATGCTCTTTTTTTTAATCAATCTAAAAGAAAAAGCCCTTTCAATTCAAATCGATCAGGTACTCTGTAGAGCTGCAGAAACAGGTGGAGACGGGCATTAAGGTATTAAAGAAAAGGAGAGATGGAAATAGAGCCATCTGG